TTAAAGTAACTGAAAATAGAAATCGTCGAAAATATCACTTTGTTTTTGATTTTTTTTTTATATAGATGTTATGTGTGGATTGCAATGTCAATCCACCGCTATAGAAATACACGGCCTTTGAAAATAAGGTTTAATAATGTGATATTATTTAGTTTACGTATGCATTTAACCGATAAAACGGAAAAATCTTAAATTTAGAGTTGTGGTCATCTGAACATCTTTGCTCGGAATCTCGGTTTGGAACGAGTCATTCAAGTCGATCTTTAACAGGTACGCTATTTTATAACCTCGCTATTAGCTTGTCACTCTCTGTTCTCTCGAATAACATCGCAAGCAAGCACATGATTGGTTGATTACGGTCAAAAAGTTTAATTAGTTTTCAATATTTTACTACTGATGAACAACTAACATCTTCATACCAAACAAATTTGAAATCCATTCATAAATGTCCAAGTTGTAAGCGTTTAAAACCTGACACTATTTCGTAACACATTTTTTTGATTTGCAACCCCAATATATCCGTAAAAAAATCCAATAAAAATACAATGATTTTTATTGTCATTGTAATCATGATATTTACTGTCGAAACATTGGACATTTTTGTCCATTACCATAAAATCACAACGAAATTAATGGTTCACAACAATGAAAATCATGGTATTTGAGAAATTTTCAGTAAAAAAGGGGGGTTGTTAAGCATCTTAACAATATAAAAAAGTGATTTTTCCCGAACAAATTTGATCTCATCACACTAATTTTCGTTGTTTGAGCATTGTATCGTTAAAAATCGAAATCTATTTTTCTCCCGTACAATAAAATTCAACAGTAAAAAGCATTGTAATTTCGTTGTTTCATTATAATTATTTTTTTCGGGTATTCCACAAAGACGTAGTCCTAAAGCCCGATTCAAAGTAAATTTGGACGTATTCAAGTGATCATAACTCAATAATTAAACAACATACACGGTTCATCAAAACGTGAAACAAAAGGGTATTTTCAGCTTCCAAACGATATATAACAAGTTATTACATTTCACCGTTTCGAACGAGTGTACCCCATTAGGCATAAATACGTTAAGCATACGGACGTTAGGCATACGGACGTTAGGCATAATGGACGTTAGGCATAATATACGTTAGGCATAATGGACGTTAGGCATAAAATACCTTGCTGCTGTGCAACTCTAGAAACCTGCTTAACCTGCAAACCTGTAAACAATGCTTAAATTAGGCTTAGCGTTGAATAAAAAATGATACAAGTTAAACAAACATAGTTTATTTAATAAGCACAGTTTGGAATCCATTATTTATCATATCATAAGTGACGTATCTACATATTTATTTAGATCCATGATTAGCAGCGATAGTGGTTAAGTAATCTTACAATGAAAACTCAGTTTAGTTTTGAACTATATCTTGAAATCAATCGCATCTAGAAATAAAAAAATCACACATTTGTTGTAATATATTCTTACACGCATATTGCAAAAGTCAAAGAAGAAAAGGTTTTCCTCAAAGAACAGCTCATGAAATAAAGAATGGTGAATTCTGTGATTTTTCATTCAATAACAAAAAAAAACAGCCAAGGTTGAATAAAATATGATGCCAAAGAGCAGCTCATGAAATCAAGAATGGTTAATTCTGTGGTTTTTCATTCAATAACAAAAAAACATACCTGCTGCTTCCAGGATTTCCTGCCATACTTTTCGATACAACGATTCTGATTTTGTTGTCATCAGAATGAAAACTAGCGGAACCGTCTGCTGATGTGAGGGAGCGATACTTCCATGAACAGTGACGAGTTGCCGAAACAAACAAGGAACTGTGGCAAACGTACCATCTGTAACCCAATACTTTGCCTGTCCAAGACGTCGTTCATGAGTTCCAAAAATTAAGGCTCTTTCATTATTGTCACCGAAGTCAGCAATCAATAGACGGTCTCCATTATCATCCTTCTGGAATTCATCCGGTAGATTATGCCTAACGTCCATTATGCCTAACGTCCTTTATGCCCAACGTCCATTATGCCTATCGTACATTATGCCTAACGTCCGTATGCCTAACGTCCGCATGCCTAACGACCGTATGCCTAACGTCGTGCACCCGTTTCGAACGAACTATCGCACTTTACTTGTGATCGATGCCATCATGATCTGCACAGTCGCTGGTGACACTGTACCGGCGAACTTATTCCACTTTAAACGCATTTGTTGTGCATTTGTCACTTCTTTACCGCATCCTCGAAGTTTTCGCTTGACAATTAATTATATGATTTGAGTAGTAGCTATACTGAAGATCCGAGAGATGTCGCTCCTTCAGTGGTAGGAAAATCATTTTTGCAGTATGGAGAATATCAGAAAATCCAAGTTTTGTGACTAAACATGCTTTCACAGAAGGAAACAAATAAACGAGTGTTTACCTTATCACCATAGTAATGTACTCGTGCAATTTTTGTGCATCTACAACTGCTCATAAAGACGATAATGAATAAAAACTGAAAATTTTCATGCATTTCCAAATGGTTTCCTACCATTCCCATTCTTTCGAAAGTGACTGGCCCTCTGGATGTGGATGATGTCAAAAACAACAAAACATGATTAATTAATCATGTTTGTTGTCTTTGACATCATCCACATCCAGAGGGCCAGTCACTTTCGAATGTATGGGAATGGTAGGAAGCCATTTGGAAATGCATGAAAATTTTCAGTTTTTATTCATTATCGTCTTTATGGGCATTTTAGATGCATGAAAATTGTACGAGTTTATTACTATGTTGATAAGGTAAACACTCGTTTATTTGTTTCCTTCTGTGAAAGCAAGTTTAGTCACAAATCGTGGATTTTCTGATATTCTCCATACTGCAAAAATGATTTTCCTACCACTGAAGGGGCGACATCTCTCGGATCTTCAGATAGCTACTACTCAAATCATATAATTAATTGCCCAATATTTTTCGATCGGTCTGAACTCAGGGCAATTCGGAGGATTAATCTCTTTGGCGATGAAATTAACATTGTTTGCAGCATAACATTCTAGTACCTCCTTAGAGTAGTGGCAGCTGGCTATATCCGGCCAAAACATAACGTTGGTCTTGTGTTGCCGAATGAAGGGTAAAATCCGCTTTTTAAGACACTCTTTAATGTAAACCTTCGACGTCATTGTGTGAGATGTGATGAAAACCTTGGTTTTAAGGCCACAACTGCAGATTTCTTGCCAATTCATTAGTTTCCGAGCAAACTTATCAGCAAAAACTAATTTATACCTGGAAGGGACATCCCCACGACCAGTTTCAGGGTAAATTTTTGTCCGGGGATTTGTTTATAATCCATTTTGACATATGTTTCGTCATCCATTAAAATACAGCCACCAAATTTCGTCAAAACTCGTTCGAATAGTAATCGTGCTCGCTTTTTGGCCACTACATTTTGTTTCATGGAGCGATTCGGATGTTTAATGGCACAAAAAGACATATATCCTTCTCTTGAAAGGATGTTACGCACGGTGGAAAAGTTGGAATCGTATTTCTTTGCCAAATCATGTATGGAGACACCTGGGTTGCTTTTCACGAACCTCAACACCTTTCTCCTCAGCTCTTTGTCCCTAGTGCCACTTTTATGATAGATGCTCTCTACCCTATCCTCACTCAGAGTATCCTTGTAACGTTTGATTACAAGACTCACCGTTGACTTTGGGAATTTTAACACTTTTGCTATTTTTGAGGCAGACCACGAAGGGTTCTCTAGATGTTTGTGAACAATTAATTTTCTTTTCTCAAGTTCCATGATCCGTAATTTCGGGATGCGTCGAGAAAAACTTTTCACCAATTTCTTCGTCAATGAAACATCAACAAATGCCTGTCAACCTTTTTTCGTTCCAACCAGCAGGGCGCGGTGGTGTATTAAACCGTGCGTCCAGATTTACTTTGAATCGAGCTTTAAGTCAAAAAATCATTCTCTTATCTTGACTCTTTATCATTCTTACATTTACTCTAAGGCGGTCCAATGCGCTCAAAGAATTGACTGTTGTTGGACTCAGCTGAATCGAGCAGGCGCACCAATCTAGTCGAAGGCATTTGGATTTTAAATTTTGCAACAACTAACAACGTCTAGCGTTTAAAGAAATTGATTTTTATCAACCCTCATGATCTCAGTTCAACTCAGGAATGTTTCAATACCTAGTAGGAACTGAGAGGGCTCAAAATCATCGAAATACCCTTTTATTTGAGTAACTTTAGCTCAACTTGCATAAATGCAACATCAAGCATTGAGTAACCACTAGTTTATAGCTTTATTTAAAATTTGATGTGAATAATCATCCTCAAACTACACCGAGTAATTAATTTGTTTGAAACTTGCGAAGTCGGTCATACTTATTGATAAGTTCCTGTGATTAACAAATATTTCCCTGAATTTGAATGAAATTCCCTGTGATTCCCTTATTTTTCAGGTACAAAAATGAATTCCCTGATATTCCCTGATTTTACAGGTAGTTTACACCCTGTTACTAAATGTTCGAACCCGTTCCAAAAAGAGAGGTGCGGGTTGTTCTAAAAATGGTACAGGCTTAAAATGCTCTCAATCAACAACTGTGTTAGTGCTGAATAACACTAAGTTGAGAGCGGGCGGAAAGTCCCAGTGGGGACGTAATAAAGCCAAAACAAAGAAGATGCTCGGTAGTATTATACCTTGCAACATAATGATATAAGTCTGATTTCGGTAGCCACTATGATGGCCATCATAATAATGTGTGACCTGGTGCTAATTGCAAAATACAATAATTAAAATTTGCGTAATAAATAAAAAATTAGAAAGAACTGCTTCGTATGATGTACTGTTTGTCTTGCTTTTCGCGGTCACAACCTCAACTCAGCACGCAATTAATACCGATTTCATTTGAATTTACTTTTGAACTTTCTTAATGCTAATGTGTACCACCGCCTTATTGACCGACATCTCCTTTCATTTATACGTTTGTTTTTCTTTTTTTTTCTGCGCATTTTAGGCCACATTGGTTCCAACGACATCGAGCTCTCAACGAACCACCTCTCGGCGATACAAAACCAAATGCAGAGTAAAGGTGGCTACGAAATGAATTCGCTAAGACTACAGGTAAGTAAGGCACCGGTGCCGTCACCGTCACCGAAACCGCGGCCGGCGCTAATGCTTTGGCTGTAATTAAAATCTCCGACTGACTACCGAACTGAGTGGTCGGTTACGCCACTTTAAACTCGATTAGCAATTTGACTCAATTTCGCTCCTCTTTTCGGGCGTTTCGCGCCGTTTTCGTTTTGCAGGCCTGCTGATAAGCCATTCGTCGCCGTCCGTTAATTTATTCCTAGTTTGTAAGGCCATTAAATATTGAAAACAATAACACCCTGTGTACACAACCGAGAGATCTACAAAGGTAAGGCGGATGAATTAGCAGACTCAATTAATTGTAACGCCTGGCAGATAGAGAAAAAAAGGTTATAATTAACGACTTGAATCATCCTAATGAAAACAAAGCGTTCCTACACGCCTACAACTTCTGTACGAGATAAGAACCGAAAGGCAAAAATTTGATCCACTACTAGACAATAGCCGAAAACTACACGGAACTACCATTAGAATCAAAACAATAGGTAAAAGGCCTTATACTTAGTGCTATCCCAACTTCTTTCCGATTCTTGCAGTTGTGTGAGAGAGAAAGAGATGATTTTGATCGATTCAGAATGAATGAGATAAAATGATAAGTTGTGCGGTTGTAACGAAATACTGAATGAACAAAAATCAAAAAGTGGTGCTTCACTAGAAATCAAACTAAAAGTAATGATAAGCAAAACGAATGTGCCACAAGCGCACCAGTGTAAATTTTTGTACATAGTTCCTTGAAGAAAAAATAATGTGTCAATTTGTATCACTACTCACGTTAGATGTAAGTCAATTGAAATAAACTGAAATGACAGAACACTGCCTTCGTAAGAATTCCTCCATATGCCTTACATCAGTAGAGTTACAAGAACGGAATTTATACATCCAGAATAATGTAGGGCACAAGGTTTTGAATGGTTTATTTTAATGTTAATAATGTACGCCACAGTATATGTTTAAGCACAATAAAACGTATTAATAGAGATAACCGTTCCATTGAACTCAAATAGATAGTTACATCATTGATATCCGAACTTATCCGGGCTAATTCTATTTCTAGATCCGCGATGGTCTTCTTCTTATTATTATTCTTCTAACTTTTGAATTCGTCCTTACTGGAACTGAGTTCCTACGCAGCACAGTTGTTAATTGAGAGCTCTCCGTTTCCGGTCCAGTTTCGGATTGGCGTGGTGAAACGCAGACATTGCTGCACTTCGGACCTGTCCTTTGGACTGCTATGAACGGGGGAACAGAGTATCATAAATGGCGTCAGGGTGTGCGGTTTGTGCGCATGTAATATCGAAAACTTGGATTTTAGTAAATGCATAGCCAACACGTCCTCATCTGTGCCATCAGTAAGCTATTTGGCCTATTCTGTGCGGCGTGTGAGGTGAGGTGACACGCTGTCACTTGTAAAGTGACAAATTTCACCTCGGGTGAGGTGACTCTTCATTCAAATCAAATGGAGAGTCACCTCACCCGAGGTGACAATTGTCACTTCACCATCACTTCACTCTCACCTCACCTCACACGCCGCGTAGAATAGGCCCATATATACAAAACCACACTGAGTGAAGCTGTTCCGATAAATTCATCTCTGGCTCAAAGACACCATTTTTCCACCATCGAATAATTCGATTGAGATCATTGAAGATGCTACAGTTATGCTGCACTCACCTTTCTATGCGAAAGAACCAGTCTTGATTCCGTGGACGACCATTAACGAAGGTTTGGAGTGTATAGGAACTGCCCGTATTCATCGAATAATGTTAACGGTGGATCAACAAGTTATATGCTCGCTTTAAGAGAAACTCCTCAAGCCATTTCAATACCAGATTACACACACGATAGAAATCCTAGCCCCGACGGTGATTGCCGAGACTTGAATGGCGAACAAAGAAGAACTGAGCTTATTGAGTTGTCAGCATGTAGGTAATTTATATATTTAGAATTATATGAATATACCTTATTTCCATGATGATAGTAAGTTTTCAGATGCATCACCGATGGACCAAGATAATCCTGTCGGATTGACAATTGACTGGCCATTTTTTGGATTTTTTGGAACCGATTCACTGATGTGTTGTCAGAACCATCGTGTGATAATACTTCTGCAACCCTGACAGCTCACCGGTTGAGCGTGCCCAGCCTAATCATCTATCTCTTGTTCAGAGTGAAGACCAAAGATTGATACCAAAGAGAAAGACGATTATATAATCCTTTTTGAAATGTCCTACAACTCCAAAACGAGCAAAGACACATAGAAATTTCAAACGTCAGTTTTATCCAGTACTTACCGCTGCCAAGAGACTGGATGAACTTCAACGAATTGAATCTGAAAAGCAAAATGCTATTCTTGAGGAGAAATCAAAAGCCGAACGACGAGCGAAGGCTATATTTGAAGCTGAAGAATTGAAAGCAGCTATCAAGGTATTAACACGTAAAGAGGCATTGTTGAGAAAAAAACGAAAGCTAAAATGACCAAATAAAAAACGTATTAACCAGTGCAATAATTTTGCACTCATAATGTATATATTTTCCCTTCCTGATTAAAGAAGATGATGTTTCGAAATAAAATACAGTGATGACCCGATTTTGTCAGCCATCTTTTTCTCATGTTCTAATTACACCAAAGTATGCCTTGAATATTCATCTTGTAGGTAAAAGAGAAAGATGTGGAGTTGCGATTATGAGAAATTATTGAGAGATAAAAGTCTGATCAGCTGACAAAATCGGGTCGTTACTGTAATATTTATAAAAATGCAACCAATTTCTGTCCCAGTTTCTTGACAAAAGTAAACATAAACCTAGATAATGTCAACCAATTGGTGTAGTAAACTGGGGTAAGTTAAGCTATGAGAATTAGAAACAAGTATAATTTGTTGCTGAGCCCATGGTATAATAATGGGTTTCTAAATTTTCAACGATGTTCTTCATTAAAACGAATGCATCTTTAAAACGAATTAATTTTTTTTTCGAGTAATTCACCCATTTGATTTTGCTGTCGTTTATGAGAATACAGTACTTGTTCGCCAACTGTGCTAAAAGCGCGGTCAAAATTCAACAAACACTGAGGGTAACTTTAATGGATTTTTTGATAAATTAATGTGCATTGAATTTAAACAGTGTAAATTTCGTTATTATTATTTTTACAGCATTCAATTTCGCGAGTTTAGAATGATGATGATGGTCCCACCTCTTACCCCTACAAAGGTTTGAGCTGGACGATTTATCTTTAAGATAATTAAATATGACATTTTAACCAGGTTGGCAAACAAAATTGAACTGGTTTCAGTTACAGATATAAATTCCCTCTAGAGTTTACAGTTGCTTCACAGCGATATAAATGTGGAAAAGCTCAGGCGTCCACCTCTTAGTTCGCCTTTTTGTCCACCTAAAATATTCATAAGCATTACAAGCAATCAAGAGTTAATGAACAATCAACAAAGCATCCTATTACACTAGTAACCCCGCAATCTGATGCTATCATAATTTTCAGCAATGTCAGGAATGCTCACGAACCCCCAACATTTGCCAGAAAACTTACTACTAACTCAAGGTATCTTCCAAATAAGCTTCAAAATTGCATTTTATTTTATCAAATGTTAAATTCAGTCCTCTATATCCGTAATACGCGCGCGAGGCTCAAACCTTTGTAGACTACTATTTTTTTTACTACTACTATTAAATCATATATAAAAAATCCATCATCACCATCGTGGCGAACAAAATAGTTTTTGCAGTGCTACAATAATTATTAAAAAGTCGTTATAACAGCTATCCATACAAAATAATCCGTTAAAAATAACTTCGTCAAGATACATAATTTGTCAATTCATAAAAAAAATCACTGGATAACCGTTCAAAAGACAGTTTTAACGTGTGAAATGTAATGTCTCTTAAATTCTGCTAATGTTGTTGAACGTTTAATGTGTCTAGGCATCGAATTGAAAACATTTATTCCTTTGAAAAATAATGAATTCTGTGAAGCACAAGTCAAGAAATGTGTTGTTCTTATTTCATCCGCGTTTCTAGTATTATATCTATGATAGTCAGTTCCTCTTTCAATTCGATCACACAAATATCGAGGTAGCAAACCGTTAACTACTTTAAAAATGAACACCATAGTCAAATATACAATTCTTTGCTTCACCGACAACCATTGTAAGGCGTCTAGGATCAAAGTTGAGGAAGTGAATCTATTACATCTCAAAATCAAACGCATTATTTTATTCTGCAAGCGCTGTAATCTCGATATTTGTGTTGCATTGGACAGAAATAAAATGGAAGGGCAAAAGTCTAGATGAGGAGAGATGATTGATTTGTATAGCTGTATTTTGCTGGCAATAGTTAAATCGTTTTTCAATCGACATAGAATTCCATACTTCTTGGCAATTTTCTTGATGACATTGTCAATGTGAGAGTTGAACTTAAGTTTGTCATCAATAATCACGCCAAGATATTTAATCTCCTGAACGCGATCAATAGTCTCATCATCAATTACAACAGAGACGTTCTCATTTACTCGATTCCGCGAAATTACCATAAATTTAGTTTTACTTGTATTCAATTTTAACTGCTTACACTTCAACCATCTACTTAGATACTGCAAATCTTCATTCAAGTGTGAGACGGCAACTTCTAAATCCTTAGCTGCAATGAATAACACAGTATCATCTGCAAAAAGATTAATGTCGCAAAACCGTAAAACACGTCGCAAGTCATTAATATACATAATAAATAAAAGGGGCCCTAATACACTTCCCTGGGGCACTCCAAGGTTGTTCCCCACGGAACTGGAAACAGAATCATTAAAAACAGTCCGTTGAGTTCTGTCAGACAAATAGCTTTCAAACCATTTATATGCAGTATTCGTAATTCCAAAGCGCTTGATTGTACTTAACAGTAAGGGCCTAGAAATTGTTTCAAAAGCGCGTTTCAGATCCAAAAAAACAGCAGCAATCGTATCTTTACGCTCCAAGTTGTCTTTCCACTTTGCTAACACCAAATTCAATGCAGTTTCACAAGAATGCCCTTCCCGATATCCCGATTGTTCTGGTATCAACAAAGAGTTGCTATTCAAATACTCCAACAGCTGGCCTTTAACAACAAGTTCTAAGATTTTCTCTAAAGTGTGCAACATGTTGATGGGACGAAACTCTTCGGCTTTTATCGTTCCAGCAACTTTTTGAATAGGAACCACTAAGGATTCCTTCCAAATTTGTGGTACATGTCCATTCTGCAATGATTTATTAATAAGGTCCAGAAAGATGTGGCCAATGACATGAAAGCAATCTTGAATAACTCTAGCATTAACATTATCTACTCCAGCCGATTTTCCTAATGAAAAACAAATAACTCTAAGTTCATCTAATGTGATTGGGTAAAAAACTTCAAATCTGCAACTACTATTAACTGGCTGTTTTATTTCGTCAGGTTCATCGACCAATTCAATGGATTGATTAATCAATGAAACACTTTCGACAAAATAATCATTAAACTTAGATGCAATTACTTGTTCTGACTGTTCTAATGTGCCATTAAAAGTTATGGACCGCGGTTTGCAATTACTAGGTTTTAATAAAGATTTCAAAATTTTCCATAACTCTTTGCTGTTGTTTTGATGCTGATCAATCTTCCTTTGAACATATTCACAACGAGTTTTCTTTATCGATTGTGAATACTTATTACGCGCGATTGTGTACCTAGTCCAATGATTGTCATTATTAGATCTACAAAACTTTTTGTACCATTTGTCCCTTTTCCGTTTAAGACGCAAAAGATCCAAATTGTACCAGCTGTTCGAGTTTTTCAAAGAAACAAACTTTTGCTCAACTAGTTGATTGGTACATGTTTTCAAAGTGTTATTAAGAACAGCTGTAGATTCATCTAAGTTACCGGCCGCGAATGGAAAATCCAGGCTTCTCTCAACAAGGTTTGAAACAGCTTGCTTCGAATATTTCCTCCAGCACTTCAATTTAACAAAATTATCGTTATCGTTAACATGGTCTAAGACATTAATCACTAAAGTCTCATGATCGGTTATTTTCAAATCAGTATCCGTAACTGAACAAATGGAATCAAAATTGGAATAAACGTGGTCAATTAAAGTTCTACTGTGCCTGGAAATACGCGTATACTCATTTACCGTTTGCTTTAAATTAAAAAACTCAGCTAAACGCTTCAAATGATTCGAATTATGGTTATCACGCCAATTAATATTAAAATCACCAGCCAATATATTTAATTTACTAGAATCAAGGAATGTCTCAAACCAGTTCTCTAAAACTTCAACAAAACGCTGGTCACTAGAACTGGGAGAATGATACAAAACACCATAATTACCCGTCTTCATGCCACGTACAACTGTAATGCCCAAGAACCAGTTTCCATCAATAACTTCGTTGGTACGAAGGTTGAATTGAACTGATTCTTTGACATAAATAGCAACACCGCCAGTGTGTCTAAAATGTGATAAACAAGCAGCAACAATATATCCCGGAATACTATACTGATCAAAAGCTTCAGTTTCTACAATATGAGTTTCAGATAATAAAACTAAAAGAGGACGTTTTTCCTCAACAATCTGACGTAATGCTACGTAGTTTGTTGACAACCCCGCAATATTCAAGTATAAAAAATCGAATTGATTCACATTCCTGGAGCTTGGCTGCGATTTATTGAAACGCAAGCTGCTTTTCTTCTGATCAAAAAGTCTTTTATAGAGCAAACATTCCGAGCTAAATGCGGCATGGTTGACGTCCAAGTTCATTTTTCGTTCTTTATTCATTTTCAAACAATTAATACATTTCAATACAGTTGACGTACACTCCGACGTTTTGTGTTGTTGGCTGCACCTAGAGCATCTATCACAATTTTTGCAATCCATGCTCTTGTGTCCAAATTCTCCACATTTGAAGCATCTCAACACATTAATCGCGGGAACTATCGAGCACCGATCAAACCTACATTTACTTTTTTCGCACATAACAAACATTTATAAGTTTCGACATCGACTTCAATTACAACACTTAACTTGTTATAAGTGAAGCGTGGATTTTCAAACATGTTCACTACTTTTACATCATTAATAGCGATGTCTTCATTTTGACTTTTTAAGTAGTCAATAAAGACATCGGAGGAAAACTGATCGCTCATGCCCACTATTTTTAATCTTGGCACCGAAGTGGGAACAACAGCACTATATTTTTCACCCAGATTGCTTTCAATACCATTTTTTACATCACTTACGTTTGCTCCTGTTGCACACTCAACAATAATGGAGCCATCTTCACCATTCCTAAAATTACTGATTTTGTGTGTTTTTGGATCCAACTGAGTTTTCAAAAACTTACGAGTATCTTCGCAAGGTTGTTTGGACTCTTTCGGTTTAATTACAATGACCGGACGAGTCTTACGATTATCTGGTTTGTTACTTTTACTATTACCACAAACGAAGTGACAGACGACTAACTGGCGAAGAAATCCATTAAAATAATGTGGTTAACTGTAATAGAATTTTCTTGGAAGCTTGTGCCATCATCCACCAGATGGGTTAGTTTTTTTGTTTTGATTTGAACAAAGTTAATTTTGTGTACAATGATTCTTTGACAGTGTGCAAAGAGTGTATCATTTTGTCATTTTTTTATGCATTTCAGTTTTGAGTAGAGTGAAAGAGATAGAACCAAAACATTCTAATACATTTGGTGAAAATGCTAGTACAATCCAGTAGTAGTGTTGCCATGTGGTACAATCCAGTAGTAGTGGTGTTGCCATGTGGTACACTGAAAAATTGAAATAGCAGGTTAGTCACCAAAGTTTTCGAGCCGCTCCGTCTGTCACTTCGTTTGTGCTGGAACTACTTTAAATAAGTGTGATTACATTAGCAAAAATCACCATCTTAGCGTTCCTCGATGGTACTTCATATGGGAACGAGCTGTTAGTTTGTTAGTTTTGTGTCAAACAGTGAAGTGATCATTTTGCTTCAATCAAGATTAAAAATTGAGATGGAAGAAAAAAAATATCGTTGTGCTCAGAGAACATAATTATTACGCCAAGTACTCCACATTCTTGCCATTGTAAGATTTCAAAAAAAAAACTATTTATACCAACTTACCAGGTTGTAATGACCTTTGGTTAGTTTTTTCCGTCGATCTTGTTTTCCGTGCTGAGCACAAATGCTACCGACGTGCCAGGGAGGCAGCTCCCACACCTGGACCCTACCTATCGACCCATCAACTCATGAACCGGGGACCAACGGCTTTACTTCCCATCCCAAGGAAGGCGTGATCAGAGATGTTATGCCTCAGAACATCCCGGCGGCGCCGACTGGGATTGAACCCAGGCCCGCTGGGATGAGAGGTAATCACGCTTACCACTACACCACCGGCGCCTTTAGGTTGTAATGACATTTAATAATAAAGTTGCACTCACTTAGCCTAACTGCCACTATTTTATAATCACTAGCTAAACTGACATCGTCTGTATATTAATATGTACACTAAAATAAACACCGATTTAAAAACATACAATTGCCGGATTTTACAATAGATAAAATATATGGCTGTCGGTCCCGGCGGTATTCGATTTAATACCTTAACGAATATGTTGACAAAAATAACTAGTGTACTAATCCCGACGTTGTCGGTTTATTAATAGGCCTTTTTTGTAAACAACCGATTTCGCCGGTCGACAGTGAAATTCCCCATCTGTCAAATTTTTTATGCGGCCTCTAATCAACCTAATTTTACGTTCATTATGCTATGTTAAACTTGACACGGTATACAAACCCGCAGATACAACGTATATTCGTTACGAGTTAGGTAATACAGGAAGGAAGCTCCTTCATAATAAGTGATGCCACCCGATTTCGCTAAGGTTGTGGTACCTCTTCCACCGCCTTTAGAGCTGAAAGTCATCATTGAACGGCCCTACAAGGTAACAGGTAAACTCATACTCTGGAATTGATTGAAGTTCGGATTGTAGTGATACATTTGTTTGAATTTGAATATTTTTGTTACTATTTGTATCCATCAGTAATGCTCAAACACCACATGTACTATGCTACCTATAATCGCATATCAGTGCCTTATGCGTTTTCGTCAACTTTGAGTTTACAACACTATGCATTCCCCCTTATTCTGCGAGTCACGTGACTCTCTGTCACCGGTGAGGTGACAATTGTCACCTCACCGATGAGAGAGAGTCACGTGACTCGCAGAATAGGGGGGATTATCAATTGGCATCTACTATTCTGCCGTTCTACGCATATATGTCCCACGTTCCAAAAGAATCCCGCAGAACATGAGACAATTATGCATGTAACGGCAGTGTTCATACAATGATAAAATTGAGGACCTTGTTCTTGAATAAGATGAAAAATACATCAAGACCGTTGGTCCCATCATGCAAAATAAAACCACATAAGAGTCATATTCATAAATTTTATCCCTCAGAGATCAAGTTGCTGGTCTGCCTTTTAAATTCTCTAATTTTCGCTGATGTAATAAAACATTCAAGCTTCATTGCAACTATCGTTTATAAGAAAACAACACATTAACATGGGAAATGCACTCCGTAACTTTGACAGTCATTTTCTTGATATCAATACATATACATACGGGGCAGGTATGCGATTATAGGTAACATCTATCAGAAAAGAAAATATGATATCATAATTAAATCAATATAAAAAAGAAAGCAAAAAATACACTCAAATTAAGCCATTGCCGATACTAAACGTAGTTCAAGCTGTTCTGGTTGTTCCGGGACTTTGACAGCATCGTAGCCATACCGTTCAACATCATCAAAGGTGAACTTGAAACCGTACGGAGCGGCCATCGGTTGCGGCGTCGAAACCGATGAGCCACTGGGAGACGACATGGATGACTGCTTGTTGTAGCTAGGTCCAAGCGCAACGATGGCTTCCTCCAGTCCCAAATCGGCGGCCGCCGTGAAGCACTTCTTCGCCATTGGTCGACTACGGCGTAGTCCACCGAGACCGCGAGCGTAGTAAACGCCGAGATTATACATGGCTTGAGCATGACCTAAGGTTGATGCCAAATGGAAGCATTCCATCGCCTGTAAAATAAAGGAGTTAGTCATTCTAGCTTTTTTAAGTAATTTAAAACTAACCACACGAGCACTTTTCTTGACCCCGAACCCTTGCTCGTAGCAGATTCCCAGATTGAAAGCTGCACCGGCATGCTGGTGGCTGGTACCCAACTTCAAGTGAGACACCGCTGTTGTATAATCACCAATCTCCAGGTTCTCCACTCCAAGTTGGTATTCGATCTCACCGATAACGGACATCAGATTCTCCATGGCCGACTCGACGGTCGGAGCTTTGGGCTCCTGCTGCTGTTTAACCGCAGCAAGACCACGTCCCTCGTTGACAACAAGCGAGTCAAAACGGTGTTGATTTCCGGTCTGTTGACGGCCATCGTTGTTGATTTCGAACAGGACATTTCTGCGAGCACCGGACAGATCTTCAAAGTCAAACTCGTCGAGACGGCTGGGTTTGGCCGTTGGTATCGGGAATCCCAGAAAAGTGGGAACCAATGACTGTTGTGGGTCCTGCTGTGACTTCGGAGCATGCTCGAGAGGGGGTGGATTAGAGAAGGGATGGCAACTCGAATAGTGCGAGCTTTGAAACTCACGGGGGAACTTATGGGCGGAGGAAATCAAGTACGGAAGGCACTTGGGACCCTCCCACTTGTGGTTACGACGGTAGAGACAGATCAGTTGGCTTGTGTACCAACCGCAGATGATGGCATTTGTCTGGAAAATTTCAGAAAGGGAGTGTTGTTAAACTGAAAACAGAATAAAAATCGAAACGAAAAAATATTGAGAGAAGAAAAATCGAGAATGGTGACCGGACATATTACGAAAATTTTTGAAAGTTTAATTTTCAGATTTCAGATAATAATTCTTGATAGAGGTGGAATTAGGGCGTAACAGCTTTTGTAAACAATGACTTTTCGAAACTCATGGCACGCACACGCAAACCTACATAACCAACGGGAAGGGCAAGTCTTCCTCTACTCGATGGTGTTGATGATTTGAGTGTCGCCTTGGCTTTCTAGAAATCATCGAGAGAAATCATTGTTTACAAAAGCTGTTACGCCCAAGGTTGCAAAGACTCATTTCAGCTAAAACAATGTTTTTCTAAATTATGAAATAATTAGATGCCATGATCAAATTTTAAATTGGTAGGATACAAGAAGAGGTTGCAAAGAATGTGTTTGACATATTAAACCTGTTTATTTCACTTCATGAGAGTCACAATCAGCGATTTTTCACAAACTCACTCACTCACTCACTCACTCACTCAGCGATCAGCAAATCGCTGATTGTGACTCATAGAAAGCAACATTTACAGGTTTTATGTTTCCAACGCATACTTTGTAACCTCTTCTTGTAAGTTACAAGTAAAACATGCCATCATACCATCTTTTGGTTTTATTATTCCGAAAAACATTATTTTAGCTGAAATGAGTCTTTGCAACCTTGAAACCCAATTCCAGCTCTATCTAGAATTATTCTCTTCGCCAATCAGTATTAAATTTGTGATGCATGCATTTACATGCATTTCTTTATAGGTGATTAATGTTATCATCTCTGGAATTGAAGACGAAATTTTCAAAAGGTCCAATCTATATTCTCTCCATCGACTTTTTTAAGCGTTAATAACTCCGCTACAGACATGTTCAGACCTTTTATGAGCGGCGAGTGCGGTGAGATGAATCTCTATGACACTAGTGAAATGACAATATAGTCATGTGACGGAGTTTCCGTGCAAATCAAATGGAAAGTTACGTGACACGAGATGACTACAGTCACTTCACATCACGCACCGTGCAGACAAAGTAGGTCTGATTGTTTTGATAGTAAGGTAATCCACGGTGTCTGTGGTAGGATAACATTATTATAAAAAAAAATTAGTATCGCTTAAACACCCACCAAACCAAATCTTAGGTGCCATTTTTCGGAGGTCATTTTTCCATACATATGTTTGGCTTCAATGGTCTAGAGAGTTAATTTTTGAACGTAATTTACGCTGAAAAATACGGAAAAAATTAAAATTGTTCTAGACCCTCCGATAGAACATTTCCATACTAGCCTCATATGAAAGGAGCGACCCTAAGCTTTCGTTTGGTGGGTGTTTCAGCGATACTGATTTTTTTTTCAATAAGTATTTTTTTCGAAAGACACCATGAATCCAAAGAGAACATCGATCAATACCAATAGGACCTTTTGCAATGTTCATCTAGAATTATTGCACAGCTGATAACAAAATGTATCATCTTTGTAAACAAATGCATGATTCACTTACCGTAGAACCCCGTTAGTTTGAATAGCTTAAATTGAAATTTAAGGGCGCTCATTTAGGCTCTGAACCATTTGGTGGATTATTTTAACTTTTGGTTAAAATTTGACAGATGAAAAGTTATCGATTAACCCTGCTATCTGAGCATGGTTATTTCTGACAGACAAGAAGTTAAATTTTGACAACCGTGGCTCGAAAACCGGTCGATCGACAGCACGGGGATTTTCGAACATAGAAAATAACTTTCGAAATGTCACTTTTAACCACGAGTTAAATTTAACTCGGCAAATGGTTCACAGCCTTAGAATTGATTCAACTGGTACCCCTACACAGATGCGTAACGCTATGGGACCTGTGTAGGGGTACCAGTTAAACAGCTTAGCTTCCATTTTAGCTATTCAATTTAACGGCGTCCCACGGTATAAGGTTTAATCGTATCATACGCTATTTTGTGGTACGCAGCAAAATTTAGTTTTCGTGCTGCCATAAATCTCTAGAATTAAACCAGTAGTGGAATAATCAAATTATTCTTTGTATGTTAATTTTATAAGTTAATTAAAACCCACACTAGAATTTTCTATATTCTCATAATATCTGAGACGAAAACAAAATAACATCTCAAATTTTCCTTTTCTCCTCTAATGTTCAGCAACCGTCTGCGTCTCTTTGTTGCCCTTCACCTCGATTCATCGCTTTCGTCAGTGAACAACAATAATAAGCTAAACTCACCCAAGTGATTGCTCCAATCCAGTTTGGCTGAAAGGAACAGTATTCCTTTCGGCGAAATCCCTCCTTATCGGAACTGTTCGACCCGGTATCATAGTGCTGCTTTCTTTCCCGACTCAACTCGAGGTGGCTCCTGGCCACACTCAACAAACAGTAGGATGCTTTGGCCTTTTCCCGTTGAGGAACTTTCTCGTCCTTCGATTGCTGCTGTCCATCTCCTGGAAGATTATTTTCGGAGCACAACCGCTCTCCACCGCACTGCCACGGGCGGCGAACGTCTAGTACAGTGTAGGTTCGATCGCAAACATCACGGATACGGCGCGAGACATACTTCCACATCTATTCCCGGGGACTAGTGGACACTTTTCAAGGGTAATTTGTAACTTTAAAACGCGGAGCAAAATAGTGGCGAACTTGCGTTGCGACCATTTGCATTTTTTGTTGTGATTCTGTTGGTTTGACGTTTGGCAGTTTGTCAATTCAGCCAGCAGCGTTATCTGTATTTGAGTTTCGCTGATTCAAGTAAGATGGGCTAACCTCACACATTTTGCGTAACGCTTCAGCTCAAACGTTTAGACAAAATTTGACAGAACTGTGTGTGCAAGCTACGCGTTGAGGAAATAGTTAATAAAATCTTGATTTTTACGATAAAATCGTATATTTTCGCTAAAATCGTCCTTTAAAAAGCTGTTCAAGCTATCCACCGATATGGGACGAAAACGGGATAGTGAAGGATCCGGTAAGTATCACAAAACTGATGATTTTTTCCCCTGTTTACACTAATGCGTCGTTTCGCACCGCAGGTTCTGATTCCGACTCGAGTCGTGGCAGTCGCAGCCGTAGCGGCACACCACAAGTCGCTCCCACTCCGGGTCACTCGCTGGAGCATCACGATTCCCGATCCAACTCTCCGGCAAATCGGTCTCGCTCCGGTACTCCACAAAATCGCAGCCGTTCGAACTCGGCCGGCTCTCACCGGTCTCGTTCCGGATCCCGTCATTCAGGCAAATCTCGTTCCGGTTCCCGTTCTCGTTCTCAGTCACCGGCCGGTTCTCAAAGGTCCCGTTCAGACTCACCCCGATCCCGTTCGGGATCCAGAAGCCCACCCGGGTCACAACACTCCAAAAGATCTCGTTCGCGATCGCAAGCATCGCCGACTGGCAGTGCCAAATCACGTTCCCGCAGTGGATCTCCGGCGAACAGATCTCAAAGCGGAAGTCCCGCTAGATCCAGAAGTGGATCGCGATCTAGGTCAGGTTCTCCGGTAAGTGAATACCCGAATTTTATTATAAAAATGTCTATTCTAAAATAGGAAATGCTATTCCATACAGGCCAAATCCCAATCAAGCCGTAGATCACGATCGCGGTCGCGCAAATCCGGATCGCGTTCACCGTCGCCTGTGAAGTCAGCACGGTCTAAATCTGGATCCCGTTCGCCGTCCCCATCGAAATCAGCACGGTCCAAGTCTGGATCCCGTTCGCCGTCACCTGCGAAGTCGGCACGGTCCAAGTCTGGATCCCGTTCACCGTCGCCAACGAAATCGGCGCGGTCCAAGTCTAGATCCCGTTCGCCATCACCACTGAAATCGGCACGATCCAAGTCTGGATCGCGTTCTCCGTCGCCAGTAAAATCGGCACGGTCCAAGTCTGGATCGCGGTCTCCATCGAGAAGTGGACGTAGTCGTTCAGGTTCGGTTGATTCCGACGTGGGAGATAAACGGAAGCGAGCCGTTATATCCAGTGATTCCGGATCGGACGCCGAGAAGGTGCAAATAAAAAAGAAGAATAAACTTATTGATTCCGACTCGGATGAGGCTTCCGATAGAGAGGAACCAGCCAAGGGAAAGGACAACGTTACAGCGGATGCACTTTTCGGTGATGCTGATGATATCAGCTCAGACGAGGCTTCGGAACGGGAGCGGGACGAACTGGATGAGTTGGAAGATGCACAGAAAAAGGAAAGCGATCGGGAACGCTCCAGAAGCCGTGGTCGATCACGATCGAGATCCCGATCCAGATCGAGGAGCCGAGGAAGCGATCGAAGGTCTTCGGATGATGAAAGAAAACAAGGATTGGCAAGGTTCGATGAACCAAAAGAACCGGAACCAGAGCCGGAACCAATTCCTGAGACACGTATCGATGTTGAAATTCCGAGAATCGTCACAGATGTCGGCCGGGACTTGCATTTCGTCAAGCTTCCTAATTTTCTTTCGGTCGAAACGCGTCCATTCGACACTGAAACATACGAAGACGAAATTGACGAAGAAGAAACCCTAGATGAGGAAGGTAGACAACGTTTGAAGCTGAAGGTTGGTAATACCATCCGATGGCGCAACAATATAGACGACGACGGAAGCGGCGTTCGAGAAACCAACGCTCGTTTAGTTCGATGGTCTGATGGCAGCATGAGCCTTCATCTAGGTTCTGAAATTTTCGACGTCCACAAGCAGCCACTACAAGGCGACCACAACCATCTCTTCATCCGTCAGGGTACCGGTCTTCAAGGTCAATCCGTGTTCAGAACCAAACTCACCTTCCGACCACACTCGACGGAATCGTTCACTCACAAGAAGATGACCATGTCACTTGCCGATCGCTCGACTAAAACATCCGGCATTAAAATTCTCACCCAAGTCGGATTCGATCCGGACGCAAACCGCAAAGAGAACATCAAGAAGGAAGAGGAAAAACTTCGAATGGCCATGCGAGCCAAACCCACAGCGAGCAAATCCAGCAGCCGCAAACGAGACTCCGGCGCCAATCAGAACAATCCTTATCAACAAGACGAAGGTTCGGACGATGAAGGTGGAATCTCCATTGCAGCCATCAAGAACAAGTACAAGGACGATCGATCGAAACCCAAGCAGGGAGCAGCGATCTACTCTTCCGACGAAGATGGTTCAGATATGGATATGGGTCGCAAGAAGAAGAATGTCGACAAGAAGAGAGTTCTTAAGGCACTGGGTGACTCGGATGATAGCGATGATGATTCCGCGCATTCCGGTTCCGGTTCGGGATCAGGCTCTGGCTCTGAGCAAGGATCTGGTTCAGGATCAGAAGCTGGTTCCGGAAGTGAAAAAAGCGTCGGTGAGAAATCTGGTGGTGGTGTTGCTGTTGGCGTTATTGAAGATGAAAGTGACGAATAATTATTATTTTAAATTACTTAATCTTGTATTAAATGTATAATGTGCTAAGAACTCAATAAAACTAAACTTAAACGACAATATGCTTCTTTACATGATGACGCACATCGTTCGACCATCCTCTTTGGATGGTTCCACCTCTCCACGCATCTCCCTTGCCTTAAGCTCCAAATAGGAATTTTCGTACTCCTTTTGCAGCTTTTCCGGCAAGGGCTTCGCCCAATCTTCCGGAGCTTTGCTACGCTTTGCCCACACATCGTTTCCATAGTGTGCCTTAAGTCTCTCGGTTCTTCTTATTTTTTCACTTTCAATCAGCTCCAGAGCGCTCTTCGTGTTATGAGGATTTCGCTCGAATTTCACACAATTGTCGAAATCTCGCTTCCACTGGTTGCAATCGATGCTGTCCCCATGGATGAAGTACTGGTGGAACCGTGCTCGAATGCCGGTGCAATCATCGTACTCCTCGTTGTAAAGGTAACACGGTCGGATCTAAAAATACCTTATTTGCATATTGTTTCAATAATGTTACATCCAAACCAAAACTTACCGACCACAAATTTTTGAACACTTCCTCCTCTTCGGGAGTTTTCGGTTGGGGAGGGATATCTTTCAGCTGGGGAGGCATTTTTCGTTTGTTAAATTGCAGTGCAGATTGGATTGCAGTGACTTTTGCCGGAATTATGTAAATATGATAAACATGAACGATGAGCGATAGATGGCTGAGAGAAATGTCAAAATGGAAACGCTTTCTGGGCTAACCTGGCGCTTACAAGGTGTATACACTGAAACAAATTGGAATGTATGATTAAAATACACAGACCATACACTGATACAAAATCCATTGGCAAAAATACTATATTGCTGGTTTAAATTAAATACCTCCACCAATAGATTTGTGCAGAAAACAATTTCATTTAATTTTACTATTATTTCTATCAAAATTACTATGCATTTTGAGCAAGCATAGTAGTTTCGTCAGAATCATAGTAAATTGTTTTACATTCGTAGTCAACTATACTGAATTCATAGTAGATTTAACAGTAATAAGCGCGGTTATATTGATAATAAGTGTTTTCTGCAAAATAGTATTTCTAACTATGATCCTTGTTTCAGTGTATAATTCTCGCGTCACTTTTCAATAGGCGATCTTAAAATGTGTGTTCGCGACGCGAAGACTTTGAAAAACTTTGTTCAGCACTTATTGAACAAATGAACGCGAAGGATAGACGTTCGCGGCGAACGGTTTTTAATGGTGCGCTCAATCCGTCAGGATTGCTTAGACACAACTTTCAATTCTCAATTATATTAAAGTTCTTTTAAACTTATAGGATAGTTGCTCTACCAAAGTGAGAGCTTATTCCTATATCTGAATAATTAGAAACTTTAACAAACTGAAAAAAGTATCTTAGCATCAAGATCAACCTTCAATTCAACTCAAAGGCTAAGACCTCACTAAAACGTAGGCTTGTGCTTCTTCGACGAATGAATTGAAACGATACCTGATGAAAACACTTACGAAAGGGATTGTTCGGACTTCACAAATGGACCGATTGAGCCTTACCAACGAACTAACTTTATTTAACAATTCATTTTCCTTATATAGCTAATCTTAAACCTAAAAAGTTTAACAGGTAAAATCTAATGGGTGATCTAGTCCTTCGTATAATGTGTCGTAGGTAAATTCCTTGCTATCTTTTTCTATGGCACATTTCCATCTTCTGGGGTTTTTCCAACAATCTTTATTTACGACACATTTCCTTCTTCTAAGCAGGTAATCACTTCATTCTTTAAAAGTTACCAGGTAATGCGCATAGAGAAATATTTATTGCTTGCGCTTTTGTTGCCTGCGCCTAGCTGGTGATATGTTTATTATTTTTATTTCAAAGAGAGGTGAAAACAATAATCATTATTTTGAATAGAACTAATTAATTCGTCGCGTTCCCAACATTCCGGCCTCCGTAAATTCAATTAATTTACTCATTTATTAGCGACGATAGTTTCTTCTAATCATAAATCATAAATGCCCTTTATTCTCTACAAATCGTGATTTTCAATTTCTTTTTGAACTGTATGTGATATTAATTTTATTTATTTATTTATTTTATAATTAAAAAATAAAGTATGTTTATGTTCAGCTTCCTTTGCAGTTACCACATCCTCGTTTTTGTCTTCTTCATTTGTTTGGTATTCGTGGGTAAATTGGTCCTCGATACGGAGAATCCGTATTAGCTTCATCTTCTGATGGTGCAGTCGTCTTGGAGAAAACGGTTGGCTCGTTTATCATCTTGTCATCATATTCTCTAGTCGTTGTCTTCTGAATATTCCTGAGCGTGTTCCGGTGGGTTAAAAATGATGTCATTGAATCCCAGAATGATGCTATTAACTGCCATCCGAAACCGTAGATGTCGTAGAGAATTCTTCCATGCATTACCGTGTCAATGATGAATTTTATGCTCCGTCCAATTACGTAGAGTCCAATCGCTGTTGAAGTCAAGTTTCCTAGCCATGTTGACCATGAAATTAATTTACTCCAATATTTATTGATGACGGTGTCAATAATTTTTTCCGATACTAATGCGTCGAAGTAAAAGCCTTGCCGACTTGGGTTATGTCCGGTCAATATCTTGTGAACAATATTGGATGCAATTCGCCGATCTCCTTGGTCATATATCATGCTACGCATTTTTTGCAAACTGTCGTTGTCATATACACCGCTTTCCATCAGATTAGGTAACGGTGTGTAAGTCCATTTCGTTATTAAATCCGTTGTAATTTTTTGAGGTGGAATTGCTTCTCTTATTCTACCATCAATGGTAAACTATCTTCCGCCGAATTGAAACTTTGCTGGAAGCAATGGTGTACATTCGATTTCCGTACCTCTGATCTGTAATGTACGTGTGACCGGTGTCAAAAACATCGTTACATTTCCATGTTTGACCGGTAGCTCTTGATAGCATCTATCCATAGCAAAGGGCTTCACGTAGACTGGCTTGCATTCTAACACGTGCAGCACTTCACCTGCTACTACTGCTGTAAATCCAGATCTTCTCATTAGGCTGGTTACGAATTCTGTTGGATTTAAACGAGCTAGTGTTAACTTTGTCTCTAACAATGCTTTGTCTAATTTGCACATTTCTGTCATTACTGTGGTATACACGTCGTTTAATTGCTGCCCAATGTAATTTTCAACTAATGTAATCTTTGAGTTGAAATATGTGAAAAGATCATGGTTCTTTGCGTTTGATGCTCTCCGATGAAAGGGTGATTTGAATTCGACCGATTCCAAAATAAATATCCTGGGATGATCAGTACTATAACCAGTGTAACCACAGATTTTTGTACTTCCTTTTGTTTTTATGGAGAATAAATGCGAATCCGATATCGATGTATACACAATTTGTTGATCTTTTCTGTCGGAATCCATGTTAATAGTTTTGTTGACATGACCTTCATAGATAACTTCGAAATCTGATTCTTCGCATTTTTTGTTTAAACTTATATCCCAAGTGGAATATCCGTCTTCAGAATCTAAACACTTCCCATGCGAATATGGACACACTATTCCATGTCGTAGAAGTATTTGGTCATTCTCGTTGTCTACTGTGGCTTCGTAGTTGTATAGAGCGATCTCATATTCAAAGTAAACTAACGCATTTGTCCATGTGTACTCAGGAGTTTTGTATTCTCCACCGCTGCATGAACTGCCCCATAAACTTCCTACGACCAATGTTTTGCCTCTAGTGGTAGTATTTCTCTTCAGTTCATCTATTCTGCTGTTATGAGTTAGTGTTACAGATCCCGTTAGATGTGTGTTTCTGCACTCCTCCGCAGTGAATTCCTTTACCACATAGGAATATCCACGTTCGTAGTCTGAGGTGTGTGAATGCATTCCACAATGCAGGATGGATCTCTTGATGATTACTTTACATTGATATACTATTGTAGTACTCATTGTGTTGCGCTGCAATACTTGGATTGGCATTTCGATGCTTGATAAATTCTTTAATGATGGTAAACAGGATGACACGTCCGTGAGCGAATAGCTAGTCATATTTATCTCAGGACTCGCACAATCATACGCAATCAATCCGTGAGTTTGTAATCCGAGTGCACAGCATAAGCACCATAAAAACATCATTATTGCGATATGCCAATATGTTGCTCTTATTATACATGGTTTTTTAGATCGTGAAGGCTTCATTGCGGATATTGTGTCCCTTATCTCTTTGACCTTATCGATGTCGATTTTTTGACGTTTTCCCCACGAATCGAAATTGATCTTAGCTTTTGATACAATCGGTAGGTCCTCCTGTTCGCTTGGAATATTTTTTTCAGGGTTAATTATAATCTCCTTACTAAACGGATTGTAATGCCGTTTTGATCCTTTTGGTTGCCGTTGTTGTCTAAATCCTTCTTCACGATGGTGATTTACTTGATGTTCTTCTGTTAACTGACTTGTGTTGTTCTTTTTTATGACTTCTCCTTTTACATCCAGTACAGCTACCTTTACTGATGGTCTTTTATATACACCTTTTGCCGTTTGAATGTCCACGGAACGGACTTGGCCGTCTGATGCTGTATGCGTTTTAATGACTCGTCCCTTAAGCCACTGGTAATGAGGTGTATTATTATCCGTTATCAGCACGATGTCACCTTCCTTTATTGGTTCTGCCTTGCTAGTCCATTTTTGTCGTTTTATTATGGTTGGTAGGTACTCTTTCCTCCATCTATCCCAAAAATGTCGTGCATAGTGTTGTACTAATCTCCATTTATCTCGAGACAGCTCTCCTGCCGATGGATCATACGGTGGTGAGTATTCACCTGCTCTACCAATAAGAAAGTGAAATGGCGTTAGCACTTCTTCTTCAATATTCTCAATAGGTATGTGAGTAAGAGGACGTGAATTGAGTATGAATTCAGCTTGAATTAATGCCGATCTTAGTACTTCTAGCTGTAGTTTTCGATTTTTACATGCTTGAAACATTTCATAAAGACAATTCTTTATTATTTGTATGAGACGTTCCCATACACCTCCGAAATGTGATGCTGCTGGTGGATTGAATGACCAAGATATTTCCATAGCGGCTGCTTCACCTCTGCTCATTTTGTTGTTTATTTCTATTACGAGTGAATTTAATTCCTTTTCTGCTCCTACAAAATTTGTGCCGTTATCACTATAAATATGAGTGATTTTTCCTCTCCTATTCTGGAAATTTCGTAAGCACATGATGAATGCATCAGTATCCAGCCGATCAGCTAACTCAATATGCGTAGCACGTGTCGTTAAACAGGTAAATATTACTCCCCATCTTTTTTCAATGGAACGCTTAACTATCACTTCGATAGGTCCAAAATAATCCACACCAGTGTGTGAAAATGGGTGAGCATAAATATTTAGACGACATTCTGGCAAGGCTGCCATTTGAGGAGGAATTGGTGTTGCTTTTCTATTTTTACACTGTTGGCAATTGGCTTTTACATTGTTTAATACCACTCTGGATCTTAAAATCCAATATTTTTGATGTACTGCTCCCAACACGACGTTATTTCCTTGATGAAGGTATTTTTCATGATACATCATCATGATTAATCTTGTAACATGATTTTTGTTAGACAAGATTACTGGTTGCCTTACTGATAATGGAACTATCTTGGTATTTTGTAATCGACTGCGTGATACCATGACTCCAT